GCCGAGTTCCCCGAGCTGTGCAGGTGGGTGGCCCGCCGGGGCGCAGGTTTCGCTCGCGGTGCCCCGGGCGCGCAGCTGGGCTGGGTGGGGGGCGGGGGCGCTCTGGGGAGGGACTGGGCTCCCCGAGTCGCCTTTCGTCCGGGTTTGGGTTCCTCCGGCCCCGAGGGAAAGTTGCCCGGGTAGTGGCGAGGGATGAGAGACCGAGGGGTCGTGCGCGCGCGGGCGGGGGGCGCGGGGTACTCGCCGTCCTGGCGCTGGCCCGGGGGGCCGCTGCCTAGCCACTTGTGGCTGTCACTAAGTCCGGGGCGGCTTTGTGTGCGAGCAGCCGGCCGCCCGGACCCAGCCGGGTGTCACACTGCGGGCGCCCTCCGCCCAGCCCTTGCCCTCTCACAGCGGTGCGCCTGCGAAAGTTGGAGGACGCAGGAACTACAGCTTTGCTTTGTTCCCACTCCACGTTTTCCTCAAAGTTCCATCAGCGGGACTTTGGAGAGGCCCCTTAGTGTGGAAGGACACCGCACGGATGGCCTTAGAGTTGGGGTGGTGGTGGTTTCATTTGCTGACTGATTTCCTCCATGTAGGTTTTCCATTTTCTCTTTAAAGTAGCTTTTCTGCAGAAGGTGACTCTTTTTTTTTTTTTTTTTTTGATCGAGGGAATGGAGGGTGGTCATCCTGTATTGGCTTTCAAGACTTTACCCTTCACTTCTCCGAGCCTAACTTCCTGTCTAGTTGCTCACATGATGTCATTGTCTCCAGGGTGGATTATTCTAGTGGAGCCTTTTGCTCTGGGAATCATGATTGTATAATCGCTAGTCCCATCGAGGACTGTTAGTGTCCTATGCTGGCGAGGATAGGAGTCCCGGGGCTGGGGAACTGCCAGTTATGAGAATTTTCTGACCAACCTTTTGTGGACTGTTTAGGATGATGGAAAACCCAACTTGTATTTATTTTTTAAACTTTGGTAAAAAGGAAGTGGGATGAAGAAGAGTTCAGAAAGACCAGTGAACTGGAGCTAGCAAGTTACATCTCAGAATGAAGTTGAGCTGGCTTTGAGCTGAACTTTGAGTTTGTGGTGAGGTTTATGGGATTCTTAGTTTTCCCTTGTATCAGACATGGTCTAATTCGTACTCCTAAGTTTAGAACTTGCAGATATCACTGTTCTAAGGAGACTGAGACTGAGTTCACAACAGAAATTCTTTGCAAGGTCCGTGTTCTTTATTTCTTTTCCCTTTTTGGGGAGGGGGAGGAAGGCAGGCTGGAGAGTTTACTGCACATTGTTTATAGGTTAGTTGGCTGCCCTAAGATACATATTACACAGTAATGAGCATGGTACGCAGAAAAGGGGGTCAATTTCTGCCAGGTCAGGCTGCAGCTAACATTTAAAGGAGGAGATTTTGGAATAATGGCTGCTGTGACCAGCCCTGTCCGGAAGAAATTAACTCAGCTGGGCTAGTGGTGTTGAAGTCTTGGTCCTGTTAGCAAATTGGAATTTACTTTTTAATAGTTAAGGTTAAAGTTGGCTTTGAGGGCAGAAACATGTAAGTGGATGATGCGGGGGTGGGGGACCCTTAGTTTCGGGTTGCTGTGAGGACTCACAGCGTCTTGAATCTGAATCTGCATTTGTTAACCTCGTTTGTGAGTGGAACATGGCCTCTGAGTCCAGTAGGAAATGGCCTTTGTGTCTTCAACTTCGCAAATGCTAGAGAGTGCTCTAGGGTGATAGGCATTGTTAGTGTGACAAATGTGTCCTCTGCAGTCTTAGAATATCTTTAAAGTTGGCATGTTTACTTTTTCTTCCAGATTTCCTTGGGACAGCAAATCTCCCTGTCCATTCCGGGGTGGGCTTGCACACATTTCTTTTCCCTGTCTTTTACTTCTCTGCGGTTTTGCGTTGAGACTTCTCCAGAGCTGTGCATAATGTCAGCTTTAAACTCAATATTCGGCTAAATGAAATTCTTCCTATTTGTTCCTGTTTTAAGTGAATACCTTGGCTTAAATACTTAAGACTTTTTTGGGGGGAGTGTCAGAATCTGTGTACTTTTATGAGATAACGCTGGCTAAAAGTTCCTTATCTCTAGCATATATTTGAGGAACAGGAATGCGAGCTGATAATTTTTTAAATCCAGTATGAAAAGTTTTACTTAGTATCACCAAAGCAGGATGTGTTAAACTGCCTTTTTATTCTATCTCAGGGAGTCCATTTGTCTGAAATGTGAATAATCCACCCAGATTCCCCCCAGGAGTATGAAAAGCAGACTTTATTAGTGTTACTACTAGTGTTAGTGTAGCTTGGTCAAGTGGCCCCAAGACCCCAGGTAGACATCCCCAGTAGACACAAGGATCACATCCCAAATATTTGTAAATTGCTTGTTTGTAACACAGAACATACTTTTCCCATTGAAAATTGTCTTGTTCGTTGTGTTTTGATGCCTAGGGCATTCACCAGAAACCCATCATCCACGCCACAGCTTTGGAGTGCCCAGACACTGTACAGCTTTAACTAGAGCCCTGGTAGTAAATTCTCTTTGTCTCTCAATAAAAGAGTTGGGTCCCAGGAAGCAACTTCTCTCATACCCAGCTCTCTAGAACCAAAGAGGGTACTTTTCATCTGCGGTCCCTTAGAACCAACAGGAGGGAAGTCGAGTCTGCTTCAGGGCTGCCTGCAGGTCACCTGCTGAGGCCCCTGGGTGAGGGCAAAGCTGAGGGCCAGCTGTGGCCCTTCTCTCTCCTGGGGTAAGGAGGTGGCAGGGGTTTGGTTCCTGGTGCAGTTAGTTATTGGGAGGGGTGAAGGAAACGGTGGAGAACTTTTTCAGCAGCAGCCTTAAGAATATTTGTGCACATGGAGGAGAGGACAGGTCTCTGTGGGTTGTGCACTGAAAAGCAGGGACAAAAAAGGCGATTTTCCCAAAGTGCATCTGGCTCTACGGAGTGCTTAATGTGTTGCTTCTTAGAGCGACTCAGTCGTATGTTTTCTAAGACTCGAGATGACTGCTGTGCCAGGTGAGTCCTGTGCTGGAGAAGAAGTTGGTGGATTCTTTGTCACTCAGCTGTTTTGGGAGGTGGTGTGCTAGTGGAAAGAACGCGTTTCCTGAAGGCAGTGTGACGGGCTGTGGGTCTGGCATGGAAGGAGTATTAGTGCTGGGGAGGAATGTCTGGAGGTCAGTGGGGCTGGAACAGTGAAAGCAGGTGGGGGGGCGGGCAGAAGCCAGGCCATGCAAAGTCATCAGAAGTCACCAAAAGTGACCAAAATGCTCTCTGCTCGTCAGTAGCCTTACTCATCACTGTGTGACTTACACTTTGAAAACTACCATTTTACATCATATGTAGTAGATGAGTTTCCATTTTGTTTAGGTGTTAACATCCTTAGTGGTCTTAACAGTTTGTACTAGTTATAAAATAATGCATTGGGCTGCTTGATTTAAGTAAAGTACTTTATAATTTGTTCAGAACAAGTTTTCCCCCAATTGTTTGGGTACAAATGCTGGAAAGTTTTTATTATATCAGGAACAAGAGAATAATGAAGCCAGCTGGGAGTTGAGGTTGATTTAGTTGCTGTCTCTAAGGAGATTTTTTTGAAGGAACAATGCTTATATGCTTAATTTGGGCCACATGTTAAACCTGGACCACATCCATTTGTGTGTGTACATTTCTTGCAACAATAAGTGTGTGTAGAAGCCCAAGGTTGTTAATTATGGGTACATTAGATCTCATGCATTAATTCTTAGAACAGCGTCCTGACAAATTCCTAGGAAATGAATTCCTGAAGGGATTTCACATCTTTTATCAGTGTTTCATAGAAGGATTTTTAAAAGATGGGGTTTGAGAAAAATAATTCAGATGTTCTCATCTTTATTTTGATCTCAGCATGTAAAACTGTATTGTGCTGGTCGGAGAATTCAGTGGGGTCTCAGAACTGAGACTTAGTGGCAGAAGGTAGCTCGTTATTTTGCAGGTAACATTTTTTTTCTTCTTCGTTCCACCCCCCCCTTCCTTTTTTGTTGTCCCCGCCATGGCGCTCTTTTTTCCTTCAGTAGATATGTAGGAGTGGAATTGTTCATTGAATATGGTGAGTGTTTAACGATGGGAGCTGTTAAACTATTCAGAAGTGGATGTCCGTTTTACATTCCCACCGCAGTATATGAGGGTTTCAGTTCTATGTCCTTGTCAGCACTTGGTCTTATCAGTCTTTTTAATTTTAGCCATTCTAGTGGGTTTTTTTGGTATCTCAGTGTGGTCTTAATTTCCATATCCCGGACTCATGATGTTGAATATCTTTTCATGCATTCATTGGAATGCCTAATGATGTTGACCATCTTCCATGTGTTTATTGACCATTTGGGCAGCCTTCAGTAATGTCTATTAAAACCAGTCTTTTGTCACTCCCCTCCCCAATTCTTTTGGGGAGGGGTCATCTTAATGAGTTATAAGAGCTCTTTATGTGTTCTGAGTACAAGTCCTTTCTTAGATATGTGTAATGTGTACTATGAATATTTTTTCCCAGTCTTTTGGCTTGCCTTTTCATTTTTTTAATATGTACTTTGATCAACAGATACTTTTAAAAATTTTGATGAACTTCAATTTATCTTTTTTTTTTTTTTTTTTAATGGTTTGTGCTTTTTGTAGCTTAAGAAATCTTTACTTACGCTAGGGTTTCTCGGCCTCCGCCCTATTGACATTTAAACTGGGTAATGCTCTGTTGTGGCACTGTCTTGTGCATGGAGGATGTTTAATTGCATCCCTGGCCCCCACCCACTAGATCCCAGGAGAGAATCCCTTGGTCCCACCCCAGCTGTGACCAACAAAAATATCTTCAGACAATATTAAATGGCCCCTGGTGGACAAAATCACCTCCAGTTGAGAACCACTGGTCGATCAAAGTCAAGCAGATTTTCTCTTACGGTTGTCTAGAAGTTTTATGGTTTTAACTTTTATGTTTAGCCCTATGACCAATTTTTTGGGTTAATTTTTATGTATGATGTGAGGAGAGGCTGCAAGTTTGTTTTTTCATGAATATATTTAGTTCTGTTTACTAACATTTTATTTAGGATGCTTATAGCTGTTTTTAAGTGATATTGGACTGTAATTTTCTTTGCCATGCTGTTCTTGGCTGAGTTTAGCATCAAGAATATGTTTGCTTTGTGGAAAAAGCTAGTTAGCCTTTAGTATTTTATATGCTGTGGAACAGTTTTGTATAAGACAGGTGTTTTCTCTTCCTTAAATTTTGGTAGAACTCACCAGTAAAGCTATCTGGGCCTGGTGTTTTTGAGAAGGTAGAGTACAGTGGAGGTGGAGTTTTGCTTATGGTTTCAGTTTTACCTTCTTTATGTATCTAGTCAGATTTTCTAGTTTTTCTTGAGCCAGTTTACCAAAACTCTATATTTTCTAGAAAATTGTCATTTTAATTTTGTATTCATATATAAACATATACTGTGCTACTCTTACATTTTTGAAAATACTCTTTGTATCTCTAGGTAAATTAAAAAAAAAGTTCTGATGTTTGTGCATTTTTGTCTTCATATTTAGTAAAGATTTGTCTACCTTTTTTGTTTACCCAGCTCTATCACTGTGTATTTTCAGTTTTATTAATTTCTGCTCTCTCTTAGTAACTTAGTCGAAAAGCTTAGATCTTTTATTTTAAATCATTTTACATAGTATGAGATGAATTTAAAGCTATATGTTTCTTTGTTCCAAGGACTGTGCCACTCAGAGCTTTGTTATATAGTTTTTCTTATCCTTAAATTCTAAATAATTTTTTTCGGGATCCAGAAGTTCTGTTTCAACTTCCTGAACCCACTAGTTTTTTAGAATCATTTTTCCCTAGATGAATGGATATCTCCTGTGCTCCCCTCCCCCCCCCCCATTGTGGCTAGTGAATGGGGTGGAATTTATTGTCATTTCCCTTGTGGCCTAGCACTTAGTCAAGTTGGGAGTGTTCTGTGTGTTTGGAAAAACTGTTCTCCATTTGGGTCAAAGTTTCTGTAATTGTGCTGTTCAGCTTCTCTTTATTGTAACTTATTCTTTGTCCTGCTTGACTTGTCTTTAATACTTTGTACCTGGCTACCACTTGGAGTTCCAGAAGAAAGTCTTGTCTCCCGTCTCCCAGCTTAGCCAATCTGTTGCTCGTAAGCTCTAAAGCTTTTCTGTTGTTGTTGTTTTTTCTCTTAATTTTTATTTCAACAGGGTCTTCAGTTGATGTATATTCACAGCTGCCTGTGAATCCATCTTTGTGGCTGCTGCAGCTTTCATCATTTCTATGAAGATAGGTTGTAAAGTTCTGCTCTGATTGCTCTGTTAATTCTCTTTCCTTGGGCCCAGTTTCTTTGGTTGGGAGTTTGTCCTCGTTTTCATGGCGTTGGCGCCCTTTTGATGACTGGTGAGTCTTGATCGTGGTCTTGGCGATAAGTCTCGGACATTTGTTTTGGACATTTGTTGCCTGTCCTGGTGCAGCTGTGCAGGGTAGGGCTGGAAGCAGTTGTTGGATCTTGGCTCTAAATGGTTTCGGGGGAGGTTAGGGGAAGTTGGGGGATGGGCGAGGCAGGGCTCTGGCTGCTGCGTCTCTGTGTCTGCTCTTCGAATCGCGGGACTTTTCTGCCCTCCCAGGTATCACCCCCAGCCTGTCCCTGCCAGGAGATAGCTGATAAACCCGTGTTGACTGCAGTTGGCCAAGTGCAGTACGTGCTGCTTGCAGCTGGAGAGAGGAGAGCTGGATTATTGAGTTGGCTCTGGCAAATCTCCTTTCTCTGGATCTCAGTTTCCTCCACGAGGGCAGCAGCTGTCCTGGGTTTGAATTTGGACCCCTCCCTTTACTAGTTATTAGGTCTCAGGACAGTTACTGGTCCTTCCAGGCCTTAATTTCCTTTGGTGTCAAATCAGGGTGCTAGTCAAGTTTTTAGGGTTGGTTTGAGGATTCAAATGCATTTCAGTGCCTGTCCCATCCTCTGTTCATAAACGGTGGTGCTGTGGCAGTGGTGATTACTTTCTGTCTGTAAGTTAGAGTTGCCGCCTTATCTTCGTGATACTTTTAGCTGCCTACTCCGCACCCCCTGGGTTCTCTCTCTATTAGTGCCTTGGGGTTTCTGCCTCAACCAGAGAGCATTGCCTCTTTAGCCGTTTTCTACGTTGGCACTCCATCAGAAGAGTCCTTTTGAGAAAGAAATGTTTCCATGATTTGAAAAAGTTTAGAAACCACTGGACTGTGCGATTCTCGGGGTCCATTTTGCATCCAAAATTCTGTGGTTCTGAGGTATGCATCCTTCAGGATTCCTTCAGTTGTGAGTTGCAGAAAGCCCAACTCAAATTCCCTTAAACAAGGAGGAGCTTGATGATAGGAGGTGTAGGCTTTGGGCGGATGCCAGATGCCATATGTCAGGCCAGCCCTGGGCCCCTTCCTGCAGTTTTCTTGGCTTGTCTTCCTTCCTGGGGTGGCTGCAGCAGTCTACCGTCCAGGGAAAGAGAGAGAGCCTCCTTGTTCATCTCCTGTCGGGGCTAAGAAGCCCCAGCTGACTTCTGCGGTGTCAGTGGTCAGCAGGGGTCCCTTCTTAGCTCTCCCTGGCCTTCTCTGGATGGGGTGGGTGGGTGGGTGCTGGATTGCAGGCTGTCTGTTGTAGGTGGGAATGGGAAATGAGAAGGCAAGCCAGGGGTGGGGGGGATGGGTGTGCAAGCCCATCCTCAGCTCCGCCGTTCTGCTCGACTTCCAACAGCTGCTGCTGAAGAGGATTTTGAGGTGCCCAAAGCCCTGTGTCATCTGCCTATTTTCGTCTCTGTGTTAGCCAGTGCAGGGGGGCAGGTCGGTGTGAACCCTTCCCAGCAGAGGGTGGGGGAGTTACTCCAGTTCTATGAGCATGAAACTTGCCCTTCAGAGCAGCTAGAGACCTTCGGTGTGACTTTTCTGTTAGCTTTTGTATGCTCTTAGATCCGCTGGGGCAACTGTCCTTCTGTAAACGCACGGAGGGCAGGTCCCTTGGGTGGAGGGAGCAGATCCTGACAAGTATTGTGGTTCACAGACGGTGAGGCGAGTTGTAGGAAATTAGAGAGATCGTGAAGGTGTTACTCTTAGTTTTGTTTTAAGGTATGGAGGCAAAGATTGCGGGATGTGGGAACAGCGGAAAGTGGCCTTTGACATCTAGTTGCCCGTGGGCAGCTGGGAGGAAAATTTTCAATCAGGGCCTTTGTGCTGGAATGCTGTAAGTATTCCTCACGCTTCTGTGTGTGCTCTAGGAACGAGCACACGGAGAGCACACTCAGGAGGAGATGCACCGTTGGATTTTGATTGTGTGTAAAATTCATTTGTTGCCATCTGTAGGTTCTCTTCACTCTGAAACCAGTTACACGTTGTGAAATGGTTTTGTACTGAAAACAAGAAACTCCCCCGACACTCCCTACTCTTTGCCCCTGGTCTGAAAATAGAAAACCAAACCACCAGAATGGAAGTGCCAAAGAAGTGGATTCCTAGAAGTGACAAGGGTGCATCTCCACTGAGTCACCCTCATTTGTTCCTCTGAGCTCCTTCGCCTGCTGTATGCTGTACATGTGTTCCTCATCACAAACAAAGTGAGAAGCCAGCGTGGCTCTCTTTTCTGTCTTTGTTGAGTTGGCCTTTGGTTGACACTGAGGGTGAGAAGAGCTGTGGGCGGGGCCCCTTTACAAGGAAGGGTGCACTTCTCCAAGGCCTTTCTGTAAGATGACGTACAAGCAGAGACCACGAAGGAAGTGCCTCATACTGGGGACTACGTATCAGATGCTCTGGCGGGGAGCACCTGAGCACGCTGATGATGGAGGGGCCAGCATGAGTGTCTGAGGGAACAGAAGGAGAGGGCCGGAGGGAGGGGGGAGAAGTAGCTGGGGACCAGGTCCCATGGGCCATTGTAGTGACTCTGGCGGTGGGAGCCCTGGGAGGATTTTGAGCAGAGGAGTGACATAGGGTGGGGGGTGGCCAAGGTAGAAAGCTGGGACTTTTGATAGACCAGGTAAGAGGTGACAGTAGAGTGGACCAGGGTTGTAGCAGTGTGGTGAAGAATGGTCAGAGTTGGGTATTTTGAAGGTGGAGCTGATGGATTTTCTGATGATTGCTTCTGGGATGTGAGGAGAGAAAGACGAGCACAGGGTTTAGTCTGCAATTGGAAGTTGCATTGCAAATGGAGTTGCTGTTTTGAGAGATGGGGAGGGCTATGGGAAAAGCAGGTTTAGGGAGAAGACAAGGCGTTGATTTGGCCATGTTGATGTTGAGATGCGTCCTAGCATCTGACTGGGGAGGTCGAGTGGGCAGCTAGAGCTGTGCCTTTGGGTTGAGGGCAGGGCCCTGGGCTGGGAATGTCCCTTTGGGAGCTGCTGTTGCGTAGCTAGAAAGCACTGGAGCGAGTACTTAGGGAGTGGTGGAAGCCAAGTCTGAGGGACCCTGTTCTTAGAGGTCTGCCGGATGCTGGGGAGCCTGTAGGGGAAGCTGATGAAGAGCTGCCAAGGAGATGGGACGAGAACCAAGAGAGCATAATGTTCTGGAAGCCTAGGGAAGACCGGGTTGTGGGAAGCAAGTGGTCGGGTGTGTTGAATGTGGTGCAGTCAAGGACCACGAAGACTGAGAAGTGACCAGTGGATTTGGCAGCGCAGAGGTCTTTGGTGATGACAACATGGGTTTTGGTGGAGAAGGGGGGGGAAAGCCCAGTTGGCTTTGAGGGAATGTGAGAGCATAGGATGTGCACACAGTAGGGTTGGAGTTTGCTGTAAAGGGATCAGCGCGATGGGTGGGGGCTGCACTGGCGTGTGGGCTCAAGGAGGAGTGTTGTAAAAAGCGGGACCTCTTGCAAAAGGTTGGTACGCTGAAGGGAGTGATCCAGCAGAGAGAGAAAGATTGGTGACCCAGGGTGAAGGGAGAGAAGGAAGGAGAAGAGAGAGGACACAAAACCTGGGTGCTGTCCCTAAATGGGGGACAAGTCTGGCAGCCAGGACACCATGAAGGGCAGGCCTCAGGGAGGGGAGCGTGTGAGGATGGCGCAGGTAGACGGGTAGATTTGATGGGGACGCGGAAGTCTCTGTTTTGGTTTCCCTAGTGAGCCAAGAAGCAGAATATCTGCTCAGGGCAGCGGTTTAGCAAATGGCCGCCTTTTGTCTTCAGGTCACGTTTTGGTTGGTGACACTTCTCCCGTGGCCATGTGGGGGAGGGCCCCGCGCTCTGAGGCAGGACAGGCCTCGTTCAAGTGCTGGCTTTGCCACTTTCCCAACTTGTGGCCGGAGGCAAGGTTGTGGGCCTCAGAGGGCCATCATTCTGTGTCTGAAGGGGGGCAGCACCTACCTGGAGAGGTTGGGTGCGGTTGAGGGACAGTGTTTGCAGATCATTCAGCAGAAGTGTGGGGCACGGGGTTGCCCAACAGATATTTCCCTTATTCTTCAGAAAAGCTCTTGAGGAGGTGAGGTAATGCTGTTCTTTTGAAATGAACTCATGGCGGCGATGCCTGGCCTGGCACTAAAGGGGTGCCCTGTGTGTGTGCTTCCTTTTCCCAGTAGGATGTTAGGGTTTGCTGGGCTGTAGGTGCCAGCCTGACATTTGACCCCAGCATCTTCAGAGCAGAGACTTTTCTCCTGTTTCAGCCGCACCGGCCTGGTGAAGACTGGGCGCCTGATGCAGCCTTGTCGGCGTCCTGCAGCCGAGCGGACTGCCCAGCAGCTAGGAGGGCAGACTCCCCTGGTAGTTCGGTCTCTGCAGGAATGGCACTGGGGCTCGGAGGGTTTTCTGGGACACTGGTGACAGCTTACGAGGGGACTGAGCATTATGGTTTGAATTCTGTGCCGTGGGCTGGTGGGTTGGCTTTAAAAGCAGTTGAATTCAGGCATCCGTATAATTAAGGAGGTTTAGCCTGTAATCCAACTTTTCTTTATGTGTATGAGGAACAAAGTCTGCGAACATCCAGGTAATTACTCTGATTTAAAAAAAAAGTCCTCACAGAGGGTTTAGGGTTGAAATACAGGCCTGCGTCCTGATATCGTAGAGTTGACCCGAGCAAAAGTGCCACGAGCCTAACAGAGGAAGGATAGGCGGTCCTTTCTGAGAGGTTTGTGCTGTGAAGGGGCCCTTGCCAATTGACTTAAGAATTCCACACCTTGCATTGCAGTGGAACCTCCTTAGGAAGGGTATGTCCCGTCCTTTCTCCCCTGCACCTCTGCCAGAGTTTCAGATTCGTCAGGCCCCTGTTCTGGTGGCAGCTGGTGGCTATGTGGCCCAGGCGTGGGTAAGCCCAAAGTGGCTATCTTGTCCTGAGAGATCCCAGGAGGCAGCAGGTGTTTGCGTGTGTGTGTGTGTGTGTGTGTGTGTGTGTGTGTGTGTCCTGAGGCCGCCCCCCTGCCCCCCCTCGTCTCTGTCTTGAGCTCTCCGAGCTCCGTGGAGATGGCCCAAGATAAGGGCCTGCCCCCTCCACTTCCTGGCCAGTGTTACATGACATTCCTTTAGGAGGCTCTAAGCCAATGTACCTTTTTTTGTAAACTCCATTTTTAAGCAGCCTGAAGCCTTCTATTGATCAGATGAAAGCCTTAAATCCTAGGCCCTCAAAAGTTCAACGTTCCTGGTCATGCTTTTCCTCACAGTGACTTTGTGCCGCAGCTGAGTTTCATAGATGAGGAAGTCGGGGCTCCGGAGATCAAGCGTGTCCCACACAGCTGGTCAGGGTGGGGCGGGAGTCGGAGCCACATCTGTGGGCTCCTTCCACTTGCTGTGGCACCTTTCCGAGTGAGGCTCACCTCCCTCTCTATTTCACACGACCTCTGTTAGTCACTCATGGTGCTTAAAACTTTGCTGGGCCACCCCCTTGCCCATCCCCTAGTGCCTTAGGCTCTGGTGCTGACTTAGAGCCTTGCTTACAGCTGGATCCCGCTCTAGCCAACTGGCTTCTTGCTCCCAGACCCTTTGTAACCACCCGGGAAAACCAAAGACTAATGTCTGGCACTTTATTGCCTTTTTTTTTTTTTGGTGCAGGCCCATATCCGTATCCACAGCTTTGTGGGTTTGTTCGAATAGGAAGTGAAGTACTTCCTGTATAAGCTTTTGCCATGCTGTGTCAAACTCATGTGTCCCCTGGCCTTGAGACCAGGGTGCAGATTTATCATGCCAAATCAGATTCTTCTCTTTTAGTGTCGGCTGCAGAAAGTTGTTGAAAACAGTGGTTACATTAAGCTCTTGACATTCTGCTGCAAATGTCCATTTTGGAAATCCTGCCTTTTTCCGCGCCCTCCTTTCCCCTGCGCGCCCCCTCCCCCCTTCTTAAGTTTAGGAGACTGTTCCAGATTTTTGAAGGTTAGCGAGCTGGATATATGAGCTGAGAAACTATCTGGTAATGATAAGGGGCAGAAGTGAGCCAAGCGATTTCCTGAATATTCTGCAAGAGGACTTGGATGCAGGCCAAAAATAGGAAAATCTTTTTTTGATGTTCAGGTTGGAAAGACTTTTCTCTTGTCCCTAAAATTTTAGATTTGCTGCTCACTCTGGATTCAGAAAAACATTCCTCTAGCCAGTTACTGTGCTGTGTGAATTTAGCCCACATTACCGAGCTTTGTTTTTTTTTTTCTTTTAAGAAACCAAATTATAGATTCACACATGCTTATTAATTTTATTACTGATTCCATCATACCTCTATATGGCTTTATTTATTTATTTATTTTTAAGATTTTATTTATTTATTTGACAGAGAGAGACACAGCGAGAGAGGGAACACAAGCAGGGGGAGCGGGAGAGGGA